ATGAAAGGGCATGAAGAAGAGATTCGTAGGTCGATCTCACCAGAAGAGGACGGATGAATCCCGTTTTACTGCAGAAAGGGAGGTGTCGGGGTAGATAGCAAGTGTGATGGGGCCACACTAGAATTGCCACAAAAGGGCACACATTTTTTATGATTGAAATGTAAACAAGCAAGAAGTTGTGATATGGCGGCAATGGGATAAGAGGGTAAAGAGTAGATAGATAGGCCAGGACAGAAAAGGAGTGATAGTGTAACCGTTTTTGACAGAACTTTTATCGAGGGATTGGCTTTACTTGTCTCTTTGACGAGTTCGTAGCTTGGTGCGGCGAATGGTAAAACTCACTGATGCTGCCGACTACGATGCTGGCGAAACGTTTGAGGATGTACCAAGTCCATTGTCTGATGCTGGGAATCATGACAACTACTATGGCAGACGAATTCGAACTAGGTGCGTTCTATTGAGTCGCCTTGACAACAAGATCAAGTTACGACGAGGTCAGCCCACTTCTATGGTTCTGGTTTGCCATTTCGAGCGGATTTCATTAGACCTATTCACACCCTCTCCTGGCTTTCTCATCCTACCTCCTTGTGTATATTGCAACAGCAGGACATATGGAAGAGAAATATCAAAGTGGAGGCCACAGGAGAACAATTATAAACCAAGAAATATCTACATTTAGCCTAGTCAAAACAAGTGGAGACACAACATTTGGGGGTTGGCACACAGTAGATTAAGCATAGGAAGTCATAGACTTGGTATTACGGATAGGAGCACAACTCATATATCTGATTTACTGGTACTCTCAAAAACCTACCCACTCGCGAAAAGAGTAATGTCGTCGATTGCTATAGCAAATATAAGTTTGCTTCATCGATAAACCCAACACAGAATGTGATATGAAAATTACCTGATTTTCCTTGAAATTCACATCTGCCCTGCGACCCACTTGCACTCGTGGCAATGTGGCGTAGTGGTTAAGGTGTCGAGATTGCACGCTGCACTGCCATGGCTTGACTCCCGCTTGGGGTGTTGATAAGACTTATGCGAGGGCGAAACTGCAGTCCACCCTGGATGAGAACACCCTTTGGGAAAACAAGGCCATGTGAAATTCAATGGAAAATATCAGTTTTACACATAGCATTGTGGGAAAATGCAACTATCCGTCCTTCATCACCTTAAACGAAATAGGGTGAAAACAACTCGTAAATCTGATTTACTGGTAATCTCGAAATACAACTCACTAACAATAACAGTAGACGTGTTTTATCATAAGCGTAGACGCTTTACCACGAGATTTACTCGGTGCAAATGTTCAACAGTGATAAGTGAAGCTGCAGCTTCAAGTTAGGTCCACATGCTACTTAAGAATCCAGAATTTTTGAGTTTGCTCAGTGATGCGGGCATATACGTGCCATCAGAGTCTTGGAGCAGTATTGGAAATAACGTCTTGAGTAGCACAGATAAGACTGCAGTGGTAAAATTGAGTCCCTGAACCAGGGAGATAAGAGACGGATCTTACGCGGCAAGAGAGAGACTCCGATAGGACCCAGAGTAATAGGATTGCAAGAAATTTTAGTAGCCAAGGGGTGATACGAGTATATAGGATTGGTGACAGCATGATAGACACTACAATTGTTTATATGAAGAAAAAATGGGTTTCGATGAATCTCATGAGACTTTCAGTTCATATGAAAGTGAATGAAGAAGAGATTCGTTAGTCGATCTCACCAGATGAGCACGGATGAATCTCG